TTAGTGCCAGAAACGGGGCATTATCTCTTCATAGACCCTCGGCCAATATTGACAGGTTACCTATTCTTCGGTATCTATAATAAAATAACATTCACTTACTTGACATATCAAATAATTGTTTTCTTAAATCACCGTGTGTAACTTTATCGTGATCTACATTCTGCTTCAAAACGTTTTAAACTATATTTCAAGTTCGCGAGACCTTTTTGTGTGTGATACTGGCAATTATAACGAACAAGATTCTAGAGGGTGTTGAGTTTGTATCTGAACCGAAACACCTTTCATCTGTGTTGACATAGATACTTACCCTTTTCGCCAGCTGGACTTTGTGGCCCCATTACACCTGGTGCTCCTTGACTACCCCTTTCACCTTAGAAAATGAGAAATTCTGTCAAATGTTGGTTAGGGATCTGGTGGTTAGTTTTTCTTTTATTGATGGAGCAACGCTTTTCGTACATATGGTTAATATTATAAATAACTGTGGCACGACATTACACGGCTATTTATACTCGTGAGAGGGAAAAGGGTCCTTTGTTAACCTGAATTATAGTTCACAAATAAAATAGAATAGAGTGAAAGAAATACACTCTTTAAGTTTGAGAAGAGAGCCAAACCATATAAATTCTCTTGTCGATTTTTTCAGCAGGTCGTTTGAATAACCTATCGAGGGTTATTATAGTTATTAGTTAGTTATTCTTAAATTAGTGGTAAAAAAGTATGCTTTCGTAGTTCGAAAATATCTCCGGCACTTTTCAAGATGGAAATTTCGGGTTGGTTTTATAGAGTAGAGAAATGTTTTTTCTATCTCGTGATCTTGTTGGATTTTTCAGTTTAAGTTTACTTCAGAAGAAATTTAAAACGTTTCCAAAAAGTAAATAAAGTCTCTCTAATTTTTCCGAAACGTTTTAAAGGAGTAGGGCGGATAAAGAGTAGTCGTAAAAGAGATTTTGCGAGAAACGCTGTGTATTGGTTGATCGACTCTAGGACTTGTGGGACAATGCTTGTAACTTTTTGACACAATATCATAAAGGGCTGTGCAACGCCTTATTTTGATCAGAAAAGTCTGCCCTACAAATCCACGTGGTTAGAAAAAGGTTTGACCGCATAGATGTTCAGGAAAAAGCTGTTATTTGAAGATGCTGTTTTTCAATAGATACGTACCCTTTTGACCAGCTGGACCTTGTGGCCCCATTACACCTGGTGTTCCTTGACGACCCATTCCACCTAGGGCTCCTTGACCACCCCGTTCACCTTAGAAGATGCGAAATTCTGTTAAATCTTGGGCAAGAATCTGGTAGTTAGATAAAGTTTCCCTTTTATTGAATGCGTAACACTTTTCGCAGATATGGTTAAAATTATAAATAACTGTGGCACGACATTACACGGCTATTTATACTCGTGAGGGAGAAAAGGGTCCTTTGTTAACCTGAATTATAGTTCACAAATAAAATAGAATAGAGTAAAAGAAATACACTCTTTAAGTTTGAGAAGAGAGCACAAACGATGTAAATCCTCTTTACTCGTTATGACAAATGAGAAACAGTTTGATTTGAGCTTGAACCACGTAAACTATACGAAAGAAATTAGGCATGCTTACACATAAAATAAACTGGCTACAGTCTTAAAAAAAACGTCGTTTACTAAACCCTTTAGTAAAATGCAATGGCACGTCACCGCTTGAAAAGTCAATGTATGAGAGAAGTTAAATATACGTGTACCACCATCAGTAAAGAAATCACATTTGATTGAACTTTTATTAGTATATCCAGACAACAAGACTTCCAGCATTAGTAGTAATAATAATCATTCAACAACAACTGTTAAACAATGAAAATTATGATTTTGTCTGCTAGTGAAAACCTAAAGTATGATGACTCATAGTGTTTACAAAGCAATAAAGTACAGGAATTTATCAATGAAAATGATAAAATGAAACTGATTAATCGAATACTAGATCAAAATGAACGAATACTTACTCAAAGTTCATTTCTTCTATCATTCCTTACATCTTCTAATTCGATAGATGAAGAGAAAACACAAACAAAAAGTCTGATATTTTAAAAACACACATAATTTTTTATTAGGAAAGGAAAACGATCAAAGTAGTTTCCTGCACGTGTTTTGCGCACTCCCATGCTTCTTTCGTATGCCTTTGGTAACTGCGTCGAGCGGTGGAGACGTTCTCATCAGCTTAGCTTGTAGGGCATTTGAAGGGCTATTGAACAGTATGCCATAGAGACGTGTATAATTTTTCGTTTTGGGAGGAAATATGACTAAATGAATGCTCTGTTTTCGGTACTCGATCGTTTCTTTTGGATGTCTATGATGACCGAAGCAACTCATCAAGACTTTCTGACTAGCTCAGTTTGTAGAGAATTTCAAGGGCTATCAAACAGTATACAGTTGAAAAGAGTTTAACTTTTCGTTTTCGCACAAAAATATTGAGTAAAAGAGTGCTCTGTTGCTGTTTTCGGCACTCGAACGCTTCTTTCACATGTCGGTGCAAACTGGTCAAACGATCAAGACGGTCGGACTAGATGGCTTTGTGGAGATGTTGACGGGCTATCAATGATAATACTATAAAGAAGCGTAGTAATATTTATTATGACAGCAAAATGACTAAAAGAGTATGCTGCACGTGCTTTGGTACTCGAACGCTTCTTCGTGTATGCCTTTGGTGACTGGTGCGATCAGTCGAGATATTTGGGCTAGCTCAGTTTGTGGAGAATTGGATAGTTTATCGAACCGTATACTTTAGAAAAGTATATGATGGTTTGTTTACGGAGAAAATATGACTAAAGGAGTGTTCTACTGGTGTTTTCGATACTCGAACGTTTCTTGTGCATGTCTGCCTTGACTGACTCAACCAGTTAAGATATTCTGACTAGTTCAGTTTGTAGAGAATTTGAAGAGCTATCGATTCATGTGCTTTTTTACCCTCTGCAAGTGCAAGAAGGGTGAAAGAAGTAGCGTTTACTCATCATGTATGGCTTGTTGGGAGGTTTCTGCACAGTGGGCAACCATGTGTACGTTAGGTGAAAACACGTTTTTTAGGCGGTTTTAGCGGGAAAATCGACGATGAAAAAATTTCTGTTTTGGGTTTTTCATGGTCGACAAAATTAGGTTTCTGTTTTTGCTACATGTTTTCCGAAAATGTGTGCTCTGAGTAATCGGTTTCCGATTCTTTTCCGAAACCTCAAATTCAACGAATTTTTACCGACGGTAGACCTACCTACGAACGATACATATGTACTGATAGTGCAAAGTAGCGCAAATGCTCCTGGATCAGGTCATAGGTTCTCCAAAAAACCTCGGTTTTTGAAATAAATTAGCCTTTTCTAGGTTCATTAACATTTAAATTAAGAAACAACGAGATATTTTGAATTAGAGGAAAAAACTGCGTCGAACCGTGTAGAAATCAGCCGTATTTGTACGGACACTTTTGAATTTAGTTGATTCCTTTGTTTCTTGCATGTACGTATAATGATTTTTGACTGGCATTTTAAAATTTGAAATTATCGACAGATGAAATCGTCTAAACACTATCTCTTTAGGTTATCGATGATGCTCTGGCCAAGGCAATCGTTTTTATGTTTTTTAAAGGTTTTCTAAGTGGTTTTCTGGGAACCGGATCTCTGGAAAACCACTCAGAAAACTTTTTTAGAATTCAAAAGACATTCCATTAGATACAGCACACAAGATACCCTATAAAAAACGCGCTTTTAAGCTTTCGTCTAGCTTGCAGGCCAAAAGACCACATGGCTAGTGAAAATTGCCCACTGTGTGCCGGTGTGAATGGTATTGTCGAGAAATTAACAGGGTTTTAGTGAAGAAATGTATCTGATTCCATCCGAGATTGAATACTGAAGGGTTTTTCGTTGATAGGAAGTCACTTTTACGCGAAAAAGAGCGTAGGCCGTTTTCTAACTTTATACGTTTCCATCTTTTCTATTCCAGGATACTTATTGTACAGGAACGATTTTACACGCAAATCACAAGAAGTAGTGACTTATATAAGTCAAGAAATCCAACCTTCTCTTTTTGTAACATCTAACGTAGCTCTGGCTATGTTGCATGAAATAGAAATTAAAGCATCCGTTTTTCGTTTTTGTAATGCTTATGGTGGTCCAGCGTCTCAAAAAATCTACTATGTTAATCTGTGAGAAACATAATCGACTCTCCGACAGAAAAATCCCAGTACAGTACTGAGAAAAGGCCGGCTCTACCAGTGCGCACGGCATGCTCCACTGGTGCCTACTAGTTTCACATTTTTCCAGTCATCGTTTGTTATCTACGATTGCACTATGCGCACTGGTAGAGCAGGCCCGTGCGCACTGGTAGAGCAGGCCTTTTTTCAGTACTGTACTGGGATTTTTCTGTCGGAGAGTCGATCATGTTTCTCATAAGAATCTGGTAAGAATAACGTACGAGTTTTGCTCACTCTTACCACTTTCTCATGAATTCTTGTGAGATTCTTATAAGATTCAGTATAATTCTTGTCACTTTCATGAAAGATCTTATATAAGAATTGAGTAAGATTCTTGTAAGATTTCACAAATTTTTTTTGTCTAGGGCAGACCAGTAAAAGTTGTAAGCAAATGTTAGGTGCGCTAAGCAGAACTTTTAAGTATGTACCCGAGTTTATTGTACTTTATATTTACAAAGCATGTATCTGACGGGTCATGGACTACTGCTGCGTTGTTTCTGATAACGACTGCAAGACACATTTACATTTACTAACAGCAACACAAAAGCTAGCTACACTTTTTTCATAAAATGATTCTAGGACGAAGTGCTTTATATTCTTTTTTATTTGTAAAACCTTTAATCACTAGAACTTCTGCTCGAATTCATTTTGTAGTTTTTGTTTTTATTTTTTTTCCCTCAAACTTAGTTTTTTCCTTTTTATAGTGTGACTTAGTCAAAATTTTACTAAACTTTTTGTCATTTCCACTATCATTTAACACCACTGACTTGAAATAAACTGACAAATTGATTGCGTTCATTGATTGTGTCTTAGCCGAGGCACCTTACAGATACTTACCCTTTTGGCCAGCTGGACCTTGTGGTCCCATTCCACCTGGTACTCCTTGACGACCCATTTCACCTTAGAAAATGAGAAAGTCTGTTAAATCTTGGTCAAGGATCTGGCAGATGGATAAAGTAGGACAAAAAAAAACGTCGTTTACTAAACCCTTTAGTAAAATGCAATGGCACGTCACCGCTTGAAAAGTCAAGTTTAGTCAAAAATCCTTTTAGGGTTTAGTACTCTTAGCGTGTCATTGCATTTTACTAAACCCCTAAAAAAAGGTTTAAAAACGCTTTTTGACGCCTGTTGAATCTTTTTCTACTTTTGACCAAAGCGTTGAGCTTCATAAAACAAAAAATAAATTGCTTACACTCGAATTGGACTGGAGTATGGTGAAGCTCACTGATCGATCCAATCAAAGGTTGATTTGTCGACCGGTCAACCAAAAAAGTACCCTGTCGGTTAGTTTGCTGTGACCTTTCTAGCAACCTCTTTTATTCGCAATGCGATCTTCTTGAAGCAAAAATCCAAAAGAAAAAGCAAGGGAAGAACGAAAGAGCGGCTCGGGTAACGGCAAAACTAGAGCTTTCTTTCTTAGTTACACTTAGTCATTCTCATTTGTTAGTTCATTTAGACCCTGTTCAGATTACTGTAGGAAATTAGCATTTACATTACCAAGAAAACTAAATGATGAATACACTCTTTAAGTTTTAGTGGAGAGCACGAATCACATAGTCCTTTGCCATTCTTTTTAATGAGTAAAACGTTTGAACTTGGTGTGCTATTCGTCCGATTGATCTGTAATGACTCAGTTACACAGCCTTTGGGCGAAATAGAACTTGTGGTCCCATTACAACCGGTGTTCGTTTAGCACTTCTGTCACCTCACAAAATGAGAAATTCTGTTACATCTAGGCATGCAACGGTTACGGTTAACCCTAACCGGCCATAATCGTAATCGTAAATAACCGCTTTATAACAACTTAGTGTATATTTGTTCTTTAGTTCGTTGATATCGGTTTACATTATAAGTAGGCAAGGATGGCCTTTGTCCTGATGTTATAGTGCATCTAATAATAAATTTATGAACATTCTAGGGAATAGGTAATCGACTATGAGGAATCCGAAAATGAGAATAAGGGACGCATTCTATTGGTCAGAAACCCACTTCTGACTGGATTAGATGAAAATGAAATAGAATAGATACTCGACATGCGCGGTCCGAAAATAGCAATGAAAGTCACGAGTACACTAACACAAGAACATGTTTGTTACGAGACTTTGTTACGGGCCTAGGGTTACGGGCTTCCATGACTCACTCTCATCCACCGCTCGCTCGCCTCGTTGTACGAAACAAGCTTTCGACCGAAATCTTCATGATAGGCGAACAAGTAGTGCTTGTCTCCCTTGAATAGTGTGTTTATGCGATCCCGGAATCCGAGAGGACGTTTCTAACAAATAGAATATGTTCTATAGGTCGCTCATACTCATTTTCGAATTCCTCATAGTCGATTACCTATTCCCTAGAATGTTCGTAAATTTATTAGTAGATGCACTATAACGTCAGGACAAAGACCATCCTTGCCGACTTCTAATGTAAATTGATATCAACGAACTAAAAATCAAATATACACTAAGTTGTTATAAAGCGGTTATTTACGGTTAACCGTTCGAACGGTTATTTATGGTTACAGTTAACGGTTAATAACCGTAACCGTTGCATGCCTAGTTGCATCGTGTTCAAGAATCTGGTATTTAGATAATGTTTTCCTTTTATTGAACGGTAATGCTTTTCGTACACACGGTTAATATTATAACGAACTAGATTCTAGAGGGTGTTGAGTTCGTATCATAGCCGAGGCACCTTTCAACTGTCTTGACACAGATACTTACCCTTTTGACCAGCTGGACCTTGTGACCCGATTACACCTGGTGCTCCGTGACTGCCCCTTTCACCTTAGAAAATGACAAATTCTGTTAAACCTTGTTCAAGAAGCTTGAGCTTTAAGTAGTTAGATGAAGTTTTCTTCTGATTGAATGCGTAGCGTGTCGCACATATGGGAAACTATACGAAAGTAATTTGCCCTGCTTAAACCTAAATAAATAGTTGATTCTGTAGCCGGATCTATCTGGCGAGGGAACCCCCCGAAGGTACAAATCGCTTTTAGCCCCAAAACCAGTGGACTATAGGCAATCGACCACGCTGATTCTGAATATGACAAAGAAGTTTGCTGCTAGGCCTCGAGACGCTGGTGTTTTAGAAAACCAGTTTTGCACAAACTTCAAAATATCTCCGAAACTTTTCTTGATAAGACATGTTTGTAGCGCGTGAAATTCTGATTAGAATGGGCCATCCGCCAGCTCTACACGGCCTTTTTTTGCGAAGTTATAGAATTTTCAAGAAAAGCCATAAACGTTCTTTGTCAGCTCAGAGATATAGAAAGAAAACGGAAAAAGGAATTTACGGCTTTTCTTGTAAATTCTATAACTTTGCAAAGAAAGGTCGTGCAGAGCTGGGGGATGTCTCATTTTGATCAGAATTTCACGCGCTACAAATGAAATTTATTAAGAAAATTTCGAACATTTTTTGAGGTTTTTGGAAAACCGGTTTTTTCGAAAACCTGGCCTGGTAAGGCCTAACAGGAAATTTCATTGTTATATTCAGAATCAGCATAGTCGATTGCCTATAGTCCACTGGCTTTTGGCTAAAAGCGATTTGTAATTTCGAGGGTTTCCCTCGTTTTTTTTTACCAGTTTGTTTTCACTTTAGGTCCTGTGCTTGATTTTCGGTGTCGTCGGATTCTAGGAATTTGCTATCTCAGATGTATAGTTTGGTATAATAGTGAATCCGCGTGATAGTCTTTGACAAGCTATATCAGGCTCGCTGATTTTGTAGCTTTGTACATAGATGCAATGGGCTAACCTGATTTCAGTGCTCATTGGACTGGAGAGGAGATGATTAGATTAGTTCATCGATTTACACTCTTCATAGAAACTTTCAAAATGCTATCTGAAAACTTGCGATATTCTTTCGCGTTTGGTCAGTAGGAAGAAACTAGACTGTAAAAGAGATAAAGCTCAGGTAAAATAATGCTAGGATTAATGTCTAAAACTGACTATGCAGAAAATCAAAAATACCTGCCATTGGTAGTAACATTTTCTCACCTAACCAGTTCCTCAGTGAGAAACTTTTGAACTTCGCGTGCTCCTCCAACTCGTCTGTATTGACACAGATACTTACCCTTTTGGCCAGCTGGACCTTGTGGTATTAGAGGTCCCACTATATCTTGTAAGTTATGGCCACAGTTTGAACATGTGCATCCAGATAGACTATGCCAACTCCATTTCAGACAGCCTCGTCCATTGCACTGAGAGGCACAATTCGATGCAGTAGTTGCTAAAACTATCAAGAGCAAAGTATTTTTAAGAGAAGTGTGGACGATTTTGCAAAAGAGTTTTGAAATTGCAGCAGAAAACATCTCCAAGCTGTGGATGATACTCTGGTTCACCATGGCCCTGTATTTTTTAAGGACTATATCAAATATCGCCCCGTACCTCACAACAAACATAGTTATACCAAATTAGACAGCGACAATCGAAAAGCTATGTTGTATAGTTAATGCAGCTATGTGGAATGACAAAATTGTTTTATGTTGTGGCAATATTTCAGTCTTTTATGATTATTATCAAGTTAATGCAAATAACTGTCACAGAAAACGAAAACTGAAAACCTGAAATGGAGAACAGAAAACACTAGTATATTTGGCTAGTGTCCAATATACTAGTGTTTTCTGTTAAAGGAATATAAGAAAAAAAGTCCATCTCAAAAGCAAAGCTATGTTCTCCGACCGCATAGCTTTTTTTGTTGTATTGCATAAAAATTGCTTACGTACCGACCGGTAATAAGACTATACACACCAGAATAAGAATCATTTTAAAAGTCATTATTTTAAAATTGTTTCCTACTGTTTATTGGCCTAATATGTGTATGTAGTATAGGTCTTCATAATCTTCTCTTTCTCGTATAATGCCACATTATTTGTGTACAACAGACAGTCGCTTTTTTCTCGTTTCTGTCAAGACAACAACATCATCATTTATCATACAACAATTTGTTATCTGCAAAAAAAGAGAAAAACTCATCATTAACATCATGTACAAAAAGAGAAGTAGAAACGCAGTTGATGAATCAAATAACACTAACTATCCATACGTCAGCATGTTAATAAACATGTTCTCAAGAATTACAACAGGACGGTTAAAGCTTTGCCGTATCAAATGTCTGATGAAATCTGGATGAATATCAATCATAATTTTGATCTTTTGAGCGACGTAAGTATATAGTAAAGCTATTCCTTCTCTCAGTTCGTTATCTAGATGTTCTCTTTTGATTTCTAATACATATGTGGAAACAACAGTGAGTCATATTCACATCCAAGTGAGGGTGGGTAATTTCATGTTCTATTGCTGCGTGATAGATAAATAGATAGAATATTTATCCAATATCGGTGTAACGTAAAGATACAAGAAAAATGGGCAATAAAAAAATGGGGTATTGTCCAGGCATAAGGTTGCTCGTAGAGTGAAGAGTTTTTAAACTACATTCTTCGAATGCAAAAAGTGTTTGAATCTAGTCTACTTGTGTAAAATCGTCGTAGAATGTGAGATACAGTAATGTAATATCAGTTTGCCATCTTCGGACCACAAGCGGATCTGATTTGGGTAGCAAAATGTTGTTTTATAATTCGCATATCATATTCCGCTTTTTCATTGAGCAAAAGTTTGATTTGTTGTTGTCGTAATTACAATTAACCCATATTATTTATCAGTTGTTGGTCCTTCCTTTTACATGAATTATCTCGCCGGCTAATCTGTAGCATAATCCTTACATTTTTGATTATTTTTAGTTGTTTTTACTATTTCACTAGTTACTGCAGTTGATGATGATGCATCCCTTTTGTCGCATGTACGTCGGTGGATAGACACACCTCTTTCATTTTTACATTTTTGGCCGCACAGCGTACACAGATTACTACTGGCTGTAGTTGTAGTAGTAGCAATTGATGGGTCTTTT